AAAAAAAAAAAAAGAAATTGGGCAATGGGCTGAGACAAAGAGTTTTCTGGGGCATGACAGAAAAACTCCAGACTCCCTTAAAGAAACTATGAGTAGAAATGTGTACATTAAAGACTGTAAGACTTTAGTACCTATAGCCTGGGGTTGTGGTGGGCGCCTCTAGTCCCAGCGACTCAGGAGGTTGAGGCAAGAGAATCACCTAAGCCCAAGAGCTGGAGGTTGCTGTGAGCTGTGACACCATGGCACTGTACTGAAGGTGACAAAGTGAGACCCTGTCTCTAAAAAAAAAAAAAAAAAAGACTGTTCCTAGCTGGGCATAGTGGCTCACACCTGTAATCCTAGCACACTCTGGGAGGCTGAGACGGGCGGACTGCTTGAAGCTCCTGAGTTCGAGTCCAGCCTAAGCAAAAACAAGACCTTGTCTCTACTAAACAGAAAAACTGAGGCAAGAGGACACTTGAGCCCAAGGGTTGGAGGTTGTTATGAGCTATGATGCCACAGCACTCTACCTAGGGCAACAGCTTGAGACTCTGTCTCAAATAAATAAATAAATACATAAATACATAAATAAATAGATAAATACTGTGCCAGTAGTAGTTAAGAAGAAAGTAAGGAACATCACAGAGGAAATATAAGTGCATTATAGTTTTGGGAAAAGACATACAAAATGGGAAAAGTAGCTGTAATACCTGTGAATCCATTTCAATCAGATAAAGGAAGACCACATCTTCTCTTTCCACTTTGATAGCTTTATGTAATGGGTACTCCGTCTTGGATTTGATCATTTTGTATAATAACTGGGCACTCATGCTACTGAAGTCCTCCTTTCGTAAGTCATCCTAAGAATTAATAACATAATAAAAAATAGAAAAAATTAAAATAACAAAAATTGTCATTTATTAAGCCCTTTGTATGTGTAGAAAGCAGAACAGATAGAACATACAAAGCAATGACAACTAGCATTTATTAAGCCCTTAGAATGTGCCAAGATCTACTTCTAAGACCTAACATTTCCCAACTCATTTAATCCTCACAAAAACCCTGAGGTAGGTACTATCATCATCACCATTGTACAAATGAAAAAAGGAAAGCTTAAGGAGGCTAAAGTGTGCTTAAGGCGGCACAAGTTCAGATAGGAAATAAAGGGCCAAGTGCAGATCTGAAACCAACAGGTCTACTTCCCAAGCCTGCGCTCATTACCACAGCTCTACTATGACTCTCAGTGAGCCCTCCACATGAGAAGAGAATCCTCTCTCCCTACAAAGATGGCAACTATAGACTTATACCTTCTATAAACAATTCACTCCTTTGACTCACACTTGGCTATCACAGATCTCTATACTTCAAACTGTTAGCAGAAAGCTTATCAAACCTGTTTAAATTCATTAAAATCCAGTTCTTTTAGCCACCTTTTCTGAAATTCTTACAATGTCATTGAACACCAAATTATTTGCAGAAACTAACATAAAACAGCACTAGCCCTGATTTTTCAAAAATGTAAAAAAAAAAAAAAAGTAACAAAGAAATCTAAAAACTATTGCTTATGATGAAAACAACCTCAGAAAAGCAAGTTCAAATTTAATACTGGTGTCCACCTGATGGGAGAGAGTGAGGGAAAGCTCTGAAGTGGTGCTGCTTAGTACCATAGGTCCTGCTAGCCCCAGAGTGGCACTCAACTCCTAAGACTCTGTACCTTCCATGGACAAAGGGCTAAGGTAGATGCCCTTCCTTCCAAACCTGTTTCTGAACCTGCGGTATCTTCTGCCCCTCCAGTCTGAAATCCTAGAACTACCAGACTTTCAGAGCTGTAAACAGTCTCACAGGCGGTGCCTGTAGCTCAGTGGGCAGGGCACTGGCCACAAACACTGAGGATGGTGGGTTCGAACCCAGCCCGCTAAAACAACAATGACAACTGCAACAAAAAAAATAACTGGTGTTATGGCACCTGTAGTCCCAGCTACTTGGGAGGTAGAGGCAAGAGACTTGCTTAAGCCCAAGAGTTTGAGGTTGCTGTGAGCTGTAACACCACAGCACTCTACCGAGGGCGACAAGTTGAGACTCTGTGTCAAAAAAAAAGAAGAAAAGAAAAGAAAACAGTCTCACAGATCTCTAGTCCGACTACTTATTCTACATTTTGTAATAATGGAAAACTAGATGCCACAGAGTTAACTTTCCACAGAACCAACTCCCAACACTAAGTCTTCTGATTGACACTGAAGCTAATTTAGTCACACTCCTCAACCATCACTCACCCAATGGCTTGCAATGATTTCTGCACAATAGTTCATCAGTGTGCTGGCATTCAGTTCCTCTGCAGTCTGGTAGAAGCGAATACAGTTCCTGACATTCACCAAAGACATAACACCCTTCTCACATCTATAAAAGAATATTAATTATGAATGCTATTATTAGGATAAACATATTCATAAATGAACAAACCAAAGCAATAATATGTCTCCTGGCTGGCTATGTCCAATAGCATTGTAATACACAGTATAAGATTAAGCAAAGTAGCTATGAATAAATATGGCAGAGCTTCGATATTTTAAAATACTAGAATTTCAATATGATATTTTACTCCTCAGTTCTGGTCAGAATCAAAATAACCTACAAATAAATTTACTAAGCATATAATAATCAATTATAGTAGGCGGCACCTGTGGCTCAGTGGACAGGAAACCAGCCCCATATACTGAGGGTGGTGGGTTCAAACCCAGCCCCGGCCAAACTGCAACGAAAAAAATATCTGGGCATTGTGACAGGCGCCTGTAGTCCCAGCTACTCAGGAGGCTGAGGCAAGGGAATCACCTAAGCCCAGGAGCTGGAGGTTGCTGTGAGCTGTGTGATGCCACAGCACTCTACTGAGGGCGATAAGGTGAGACTATGTCTCTACCAAAAAAAAAAATTAATTATAGTATAATTACTATATACTAAGCATATATAATTAAGTGATCTTATACACAAGTAACTGTAGAATCACAATGGACCAACTTCAGTTGTTTAACATGTAATTACATGAGATACTTCTGTAGTTCCTGCTAGCACAACTCTATTATGCAAAAAATGTGGCTTAAAAATTGTTTCAAATATTAAGCTCTATACCTCAATAAATTAATACCTCCTAAAAAGTCCTATCCAAAGATGAATTTGTATGATTGATGTGTAAACTATAACTCAGTAAATCTATATTTTAAAAATCTACCCAGAATATAATGCATAGGAACAGTTAAGAATTAAACTATCAGCCAGGTGTGATAGCTCATGCCTGGAATGCTAGCACTCTGGGAGGCCAAGGCAGGAGGGGTGCTTCAGCTCAGGAGTTTGAGACCAGCCAGAGCAAGAGTGAAACCCCATCTCTACTAAAAATAGAAAATGTCGCAACCCGTTGAGCCTCTATGGCCCAGGTCTTGGTTACTGCAGGAAGGAACCAGGCGAGACACAGATTAGAAGTACAAGCTTGTGGGAGATGGGCTAGCCCTTACTTTCCGGGTAGCCCCAAGCAACCTCTGCACCGGCCTTTTATTGAGACGGAATAATACAGGTAAGGGGAGTAATTAACAATGACAATGTGCTAAGGGCACGGGCTCTTTCTCCATAAGGAGCTCCTATGGACAAGTCGCCCGAGAGTCCACCTCTCAGCTATAAATCATCTTGCTCAAAGGTCGTCTGACTCTTGGCGTCCTCTACAAGAAAAGTTAGCTGGGCATCATGGAAGGAGCCTACAGTCCCAACTACTCAGGAAGCTGAGGCAAAAGGATCACTTGAGCCCAGGAATTTGAGGTTGCTATGAGCTATGATGATGCCATGGCACTCTACCCAGGGAGACAGAGTATCTCAAAAAAAAAAAAAAGAAGAATCATGCACACACACATAAATCCTATTTCTGTTATAGCAACAACAACAAAACCAGAGTAATCAAAACAGAGAAAAATTGCCTACAATGGTTGTTCCCCATAAAGCCAGGTAACAACAGGACCCTTTCAGAATCACTAAGAGAACATCAACTACGCATCAGGGAAAAGAGAGCCACAAGCAAGCAAAGAGAGATTTCATAACACAGAGCAGGCACTGTATCCTAGCTTTGAAGACACAGCACCGGAGAGACCCATGATTCCTCTAACCCCAGAAGTCCTAGAAACCTTAGTGAGTCTCCCACAAAACCAGGACTATAGGGGAGAGACAGTCATGGCATGGTCTTTCATCCCCCTTGCCTCCACATCTTCTTACAAATCAGGTTCATCCCAAAGGCAGCCACAGCTGTGGCAATCTCCTAATGTGTCTTTAGGAGATTTTCTGACAACCCACCATTGATTCCCATAGCCCCTACAAAAACTCTTTTCTGACTACAAAGGCAGGATGCAGTAGAGAGAATAAAATGAACTATGAAGTAGAAAGACCTGTGTTGAGATCCACTATATTTTAGGGACCAAATTACTTGAGCTCTGTGCCCATCTACTCTAGAAGGTAAAGATGATGCTCTATTTCAGAGGTTTGTGTGTTTTCAAGATGAAGGAAAATTAGCTATACTTAGCACCGTATGATGTACATAACAGGTATGCCCTTAAGCGTGTAGTCTCTCTCCTAGCTATTCCCTTCTCTAAGGCCTGAAATTCCTTTACTAAGGAAAAACAGAAAAAGTATAAAAGGAAATTATGTAACTTTTTTTTTTTTTGAGACTGACTCTCGTTTTGTTGCCCATGGTAGAGTGCCTTGCTGTCACAGCTCACAGCAACCTCAAGCTCTTGGGCTCAAGCGATTCTCTTGCCTCAGCCTCCGGAGTAGCTGGGACTACAGGCACCCACCACAACACCCGGCTATTTTTAGAGACAGGGTCTTGCTCCAGCTCAGGTTGGTCTCAAACCTCTGACCTCAGGCAATCTACCAGCTTTGGCTTCCCAGAGTGCTAGGATTACAGGTGTGAGCCACCACACCAAGCCTTGAAATTATGTAATTTAGTAACTGATATTAATGGATTCCAGTCCTATTATAAATAATAACTGGCCAGCAGATAATTCACAACCTTAACAGGTAAGCCTGAGATAATAAAAGTGGACAAAGTCCTTGGGAGTGAGTGATGGGGAGGAAAGAACAAGGTCCTAAGAAAGACCTGGAAGATTTAATCAAAATTAAAGAATAAATCAAAATCTCACAAATAGGGTCTTACCAGAGGCACAAGAATATAATCTTGGACCTCCTTTCCATCTAACAGTAAATGCAGGTACCTATTTTACACAAAGACCCAGTGCTTTGCTTTGTTTTTAACTAACATAGCCAACTTGGTATAAGAAAGCATCTGTCTCAGGGTATTTTTTTAAATCAAGTTGTTCTATGTAATATCTAAATAGGTTAATATAATAATAAATAAGAATAATAAGCTATGTATAACAACATTATATTTCTAAACCTCAGTTTTGTGAACCATTGGTTCCCCAAACTCATATACCACACCATAGCAAGGTTTGACAGAGTCACTGTGAGCTCAGCTATAAAATCAGAGCATTCTATTAGAAAAAAATCTGCTTCTTCCCACTTTACAACAAGTATTCATTAACATCCTAATACCAAGCAGCCTAACACACAGTATGATCTCAGGGAAATAATGACTCACATTTACAAAGCACTTTTACAGACAAAGGCTGAAAGTCTGAAAATCCCATTATCCTCCTTTGCACAAAGTGACACTGTATTAAGGAACTCAAATATTTTTCACAAGGATAGACTCCTCTTAAAACTGGCAGACACTGGTGACGCCTGTAGCTTAGTGGGTAAGGCGCCGGCCACATACACCCAAGCTGGCAGGTTGGAATCCAGCCTGGGCTAGCTAAACAACAACAACTGCAACAAAAAAAAAATCCAGGCATTGTGGTGGGCACCTGTAGTCTCGGCTACTTGGGAGCTGAGACAAGAGAATTGCTTAAGCCCAAGAGTTTGAAGTTGCTATGAGCTGTGATGCCACAGCACTCTACTGAGGGCGACATAGTGAGACTCTCTAGTCTCAAAAACAAAAACAAAAACAAAAAAACTGGCAGACACTTCACTGTCACTAATTCTAGGATCCCCAGAGGGCTGTTTGCCATTTGGATATGCTATAAATAGTAACTAACATGATTTACACAACCAAAGAACATGAAATCTTATTTGAAAATTTAGATTCCTGGCTCATACCTTCTCTTTGAAAAGTAGCAAAACAGACTAACTTTTCCCTGAAGGGAATTTTTGTTGTTGTTGTTGTTATTAATAACTTTTTTAATCTTAGAGCACAAAAAGGATACAGATGAATAAAAATAATAAACCTAATTTTTAAAGTACAAAATCAAGCTTATATTTCAGTTACCCACAAACTCCTGTCTAGTTTTCATATCAATCTTGAGTGTATGTAAGACACAGAAAATTACTGAAAGAAAAAAATACAAAAGGTAAACAGTGGTTGAATTACAGATGATTTGTTTACTTTATATCATTCTATATTTTCCAAATATCATACAGTGAACAAGTATTATGCTTTTACAATCAGGGAATAGATATTATATTCTTGGCCAGGCACAAATCTCACACCTGTAATCCTAGCACTCTGGGAGGCCAAGACCAGTGGATTGCCTGAGCTCAGGAGTTCAAGACCAGCCAGAGCAACAGTGAGACCTAGTCTTCTACTAAAAATAGAAAAACTAGCTGGGAGTGTGGCAGTGCCTGTAGTCCCAGCTACTTGGGAGGCTGAAGCAGTTAGATCCCTTGAGCCCAGGAGTTTGAGGTTGCTGTGAGCTAAGCTGGTATCATGGCACTCTAGCCTGGGCACCAGAGTGAGACTCTGTCTCAAAAAAAGAAAGAAAAGAAAAAAAAATGTTATGTTCTTAACTGTCATTTTTTCATATACTTTATTCTCTTTTTTGTTTTTATTTTTTTAAAAAGAGTATTTTCCTAATAATACCCAGAAAACTTCCATCAAATTGGTGATAATATTCCAAAACCACAGAGAGCGTGACACTATGAAATGAGCAACACCTGCTTTGTACTAAACTACATACATCTGTCAAAGCCCTTTCAGTTACTATCTCAAATGTGTAATTTCCTCTGACCCTTTAAAATCCAACATTTGTTTTGAATCCACTCCTGGGTCTCTTCCATCCCAGCTCTTAAGAAAGGCATGACAGATAACAACTTAATACTCACATCCAACAGTTCAAAATTGCGCATCTGGTCATGTCTTACAAAGACTACTCGATCAATAAACAACACTTTAATTAAAGAATCCATTACACAGATTACAATTATCTAAACTACTCTAACCCCAGGGCATTTTTATCAAAGCAATTTAATTTATAAGCAAGTTTGACAAGGTAATGTGAGAAAGCTCAGGAAATCTGAAAAAATATAAAGACATAAATCACTCAATCTAATTAAAATGATTCTCATTTCACTCTCATCAAAACTCACCAAATCAGGGCAGTGCCTGTGGCTCAAGGAGTAGGGCACTGGCCCCATATGCCAGAGGTGATGGGCTCAAACACAGCCCTGGCCAAAAACTGCAAAAAAAACCAAACAAACAAAAAACAACAGCTGGACTTTGTGATCCCAGCTACATGGGGGGCAAGAGAATCACTACGGGAGGAAGAAGTAAAAAAAAAAACAAAACTTCAAAACTCACCAAATCAAACACATGAAAGTTAACTGTGATGTTAGCTTTGCTAATAACCTAAATATGATATGTAGCCTACAGATCTTGAACTTGGCTTTTGGGGGTTTTTTTTTATTCTTTTAGTTATCAGACTTAGATATTAAAATACACTCAAGCCCACATCAATTACAGAGACTAACCGCTAATTCATGTGAAGTCCAATGGGCCACCCCAGAGGAAAAATAGCACCACAGTGAAAACAGCCAGTGGCTCCAGGTAGCAAAGTCTCTCATGGCTCTCTGAGGGCAATATAGCAAGAGGTGGAGTGACTCTTGATGGCTAAAACCATCCCTTCACCCACCTAGAAGAAGAGCCATTCTTTTATGTACTCAAGAGAATACAAAAGATCAGTAAATGATTTAAAAAGACACTCCATCAACCAACCTAACTACCAAAAGCTACATGTCCAACAGACGTTCCAGGACATTCTCCCTGACATCATTTGGTGAACATTTTGTTTTCTGTTGTTCTAAAATGCCAACTTGGGAGAGCAACTGAGAAAATGCAATACAAAAAACACAGCATGCTATCTCTGTGGCAACTTAAAAAGCAATAACTTAAATGAAGTGAGCTCTCCAAGACACTGGCTGTGAGGCTTATTTGAACCACATTCTCATGTATACTTTAGGCATTCATGTATTTCCAACAAAGAGAATATGACCAAGGACTTCATTTGACTAGATCTATCAGAAAGTAAATAAATGTCAAAGGAAACAGAATCAGAGGGAAAGCCAAGAGTTTAGATGCTGGAATATCACAGTTGATCAGTTTATATAAATATGTACTCTCTGATAACAGATCAGTGAAAGAGAATATCAAAAAGCTTCAGTAAAATTTAGCTTACAAGATAACACAAAGGGAGATAAATTCTTTTCCTGCCATTGCCTTTAAAAGAACACCTTGCAAAAGTTATTTACATTAGCAGAAGAAGCTGTTTTCCCAGAGCTTGGCATAATTAAAGCTCAGCCACCACCATCTGAGGTACTTGAATATATCTGCTGTGACTTGCCTCTCCCTAAGGAGCTGTAGCTGAAACCGATTTGCGAGTTTCATCAGTTCAGTCAGGAACACATCATCCTCTCTGAACTCCAACTCATCTGTATAGATCCAGCGAAGCATTGTCATTGTCACTTCAGGGTTAGCATCTAGTTAAACAAAGAAAATAGAGAGGAAAAACTGAAAAAGTTCCAGATAACATGTTTAAGCTTTCTTGACGGACCCCTAAAATTTGAGGCTAATAAAGTAAATTATAGTACACCCAACTCAAAAGAAATATTACACAGACATTAAAAATGGTAAGTAGTCTCAGTAGCATCTGACTACATAAAAATGTTACAATCTTTCACGAGATGGTTATAAGGGAAATGAATCAACTAAATACATATGAAACAAATTAGTGAAAATATCTGAAATATATGACAAAAAGTTAACATTCTAATAAAAAGATTTTACAAATAAAAATGAAAAGGTGGACACTCAATGGAAAAACGAGGTAATTCACAAAGATACAAATGGCCAATGAACCTTACCAATAACCAAACACAAATTTAGACTATAGCACATTTTTTGGTCTTTCACACCAGCAAAGATTTTTTTAAAATGTATAAACTTTTATATAGCCATTATACATCTGGATTATTATCCTAAGAAAATGACTGGACAAATATGGTATATTTTAAAATATTCAGCACAGGACAGCGCCTATGGCTCAAAGGAGTAAGGTGCCCAACCCATATACCGGAGGTGGCGGGTTCAAACCCAGATCCAGCCAAAAAGTGGGGGAAAAAAAAAAAAAAAATATTCAGCACAGGACAGCGCCTATGGCTCAA